TTTATTTCAGTAAAGAGAACATTTTTAGGAAATAAAGTAAGTTATGAAATATAAACTTACCTCCCCATTCACAGTTTGTTTTTAAATAACCTATACATACTGTGTTTACCTACACAAGATGCAAAGTGAATAAATTATGTACAAACAAGCTGGTTTTGCCAGTTATAGATACAAAACCTTGTACAGCCTTCTGGTTTTAAAAGGAAGCTGAAATTATACATTTTTCATTGAAAATATCAACCTCATTTGATCTATTTATGTAAAAGATCTTTAAAAAACAAAGACACAAAAGTTTACTTTTATAGGACACAGATGGCACATCATGGTTGGGTTTCATATTATCAGATACAGTCATATGAAATATACACATCCATATCTGAACCATTCACCCTGGTTCCATTTATACTTAAATGAATGATACTCACTTCTGGAGAGAAATTTAACTCATCCAAAAGTGAACATATTTAACCTGGTATTTATTATCATGTGCGTAAAAAACTCAGAGACACTGTTTCAGTTACAGGTGAGGTAAAGCCATCTTGTCCTGAGAAATATTGAGGGGAATTAAAAGCATTCCTGTCCTCATCTGAAAACACTGATTCTTTTTCGTGTGTTCAGACAAATTATTTTATGAGATGACGGCAAGCTTTTAAATGAGTATTACTTAAATAGCCTGGCACACAACTACTAGAGACACAAGGCTGAATCAAGTCGCATTTTGACATGGACTAATCTTGATAGATACAGGGTTTAATTATACTTGCATGTTTAATTATGTGGGAAAAATAATTTTGAGACTTGGTATAGTTCATGTTCCAATGCAACCAAATTCCGGAAAGGTGGCTGTAGTCAGGTGGGGGTTGCTCTGTTTCTCAGGCAGCAACTGACAGAGCCAGAGGACACAATCTTAAGCTGCACCAAGGGAAATATCAGTTGGATATTAGGAAAATATTTTTTACAGAAAAAGTGATCAAGTACTGGAATAGCCTGCCTTGGGAGGTGGTGGAGTCACGATCCCTGGACATATTTAAAAAAGACTGGATGTGGCACTCAGAGCCATGGTTTAGTTATAGTTTAGGCATTAGGGCATGGGTTGGACTCAATGATCTTGAAGGTCTCTTCCAACCTATTGATTCTGTGATTCTGTGATGTTCTCATGGCCTTATTGATATGAGTTATCCTATCCCTGCAATATTCACACTATCTACTTCAATTTAGCCTGAATTTAGAGCCAAAATTAGCCCTTATCCTTTTCATGTAGAAGATGTCTGCCACACTCACCTTATAGCAGGTGGAATTTTTCAAGCATTTACCACAGAAATCAAAGGTGGTTTTGCTGTTAAATTTCTCAGAGAGCAGATATAGTTGTAGGAACTACACAGAGAAATCTTGCATCCACCAAAATAACTCATCCGTCATCTGAAGGGCTCTAGTGCCCAGACTGGATGGCACTGGTGTGCAGAGCACTACCAGGGTTGTAGCTTACGCTGTTCATATTGTGTTCACATCACAAAGTGTGCACTTGCTTTGGGAATTCAACTCAACTTCATAAGAGACTTTAGAAGAATATTGGGTTGGTTTTTTATTTGCATTCATGAGAAAAAAAAAAAATTAACAAAAATCTAGAGTCAAGTCAGTAAACCATAGGCTCATTTAAGCTGGAAGACCTCTAAGATCACAGAGTCCAACTCTTAATCCAGCACTGCCAAGTCCACCACTGAGCCATGTTTCTTAGAGGCACATCTACATGTCTCTACAACTCATACTCTGTCAGACTGAGCATGCTTCTTCAAAAAAAGGAACTGCCACAGATTTTAATCTACTGAGCCATAAATGTGCCAGATGAATGGGCCTGGGCACAAAGAACCCTGAGAGCCACAAAACATGGTGAATACAGACAGAGCCCAGCCATGCAGGAGGCCTTCCTGGGTGACAGTACACCTGGAATATCTTAGTGAACACAGAGGAGGTAAACACTTTAAAAAAGAAAGGGTTGGCAAGAATGCTACAAAAGTTCTTAATTAAAAAAAAAAAATACTCACTCTGCAGTTTCTGGAAAATTATAGTCAAATTAAAACAGAGCAATAAATCTGCTCCTAAACATCTCCTGTGAACATGTTTTGAGAATTTTTCAATGTTACTTTTAAGTCATTGTATTGAGTTACGGAAGTGGAAATGTTAAAAGAATTTCCATCATGCAAAATATTTGGCTATTCAATAAAAAGCTATTTTCATTTTGTAAATTCCTCCTGAAGAAGTGACTCTTATGCGAAAGGGGAAGTAGTAGTTAGTTAATGTAGATGGTACTGCCTCAGAAGCATAGTGAGTTTGGCTACTCAGAGAGCTTGTTCTATGATTATTCAGCTATTACCTTCTTTCAAAAAATATTTACTGAGGTGTCTTGTTAGTTTGAAATAATAGTTTTCATAGGATTTCTTCAATGCACCTGCTATTTTTAATTTGAACCAAACAGACATTCTTTGAGTAGCTGTTTCATACTACAGCCTAGCTTTATGTAAATAACTTTTTCATATATATATATATATATATATATATATATATATATATATATATATATATATATATATATTTATACATGAGCTGGGATAAGTAATTTGTCCAGAATATAGCAATGTACTACACTGCCATGGAATTAAAAAGCAAACTGTTTGTTAATGAGTTTGCTTAATTGAAAACCCTAGATTAGATTAGATTAGATTAGATTAGATTAGATTAGGGGTGGTTGCCTTTCCCTGGTCAAAATTAAAATGTTAGCCTCTTTGAAGATCAGGAAAATATTCTCATGACAAAATCTCAAAAAACTGAAGTACACCTGTGATTTCATTAGCCATCTTGTGTTTTTTAGTGTTTCCCTCACTGCTTAGTCACTGAAGTCATGAGATTCTGAAAAGACAAGCTTTTCCTTTAAAAACTAAATTATTAGTCCCTAACATTGCTGAGGAGAAGAAAACAGAAAGAAAGCTCCTCAATGCCAAAGAAACCAAAAAAAAAAAAAAAATGGTATTTTGGAAGATCTGGTGTGTTCCTATGCAGGTTTTTTTAAAGCTGTGTTTGATAATACCAGCCATTAGTAAGCAATTAATGTGGAAAAGAGACTGTATAGTTCACAGGGAAAATGTTTTAAACCCTTTTGCACCTCTCAGTCTTTAGAAGAAAGTCCCAAACAATTAATGATGAGGCAGAAGAGTTCCAAGCTCTGTTGGAGCACAGTCCTGAGCCTCCTCCATCCCAGCGCGGCAGACGGCGAGCGGCACACGGGCCAGATTGCTCCTGTCTGGCACAGCTGGATCTGCTGCCTCCTTCCTGGCAGTCCCTGACATTCACAGCGCTGACACATCAGTCTGTGTCGGTGTCTGTGCCAGTCTGTCCTGGGGCGAGGGGAGGGATGTGGGGAAGGGGTCCCAGGGCTGATGTGCACCTCCCGTACCAGGTGGCACTGGGTCTTTGCCTCCAGCTCAGCCTGGGCAGCCCATGAGACATTTAAGATCATAACAACCACTGTGTGTGTTAGGGCAGCTTCAATGTGTCTCTCCAGCTACATATGAGAGGAAAAAAGCAAAAGGAGAAGGATGCAAACAGTAAACTTTCCATTAGTGCAAACCCTCAGCTCTGTGAAATCTCCAAGTTACTGGAGGTTAGATCTGGACTGTCTCGTTAATAAAAACCTAAGGCTTTTTATCTTCCAGGAATTTGTCTAAATTCCTCTTGAGCTTCCTTGTTACATGGAATTGAATTTTGTGATTTGGCTGGGAATTATGGGAAATAAAAAGGAAATAATTATGTTATTTCATTTGCTTTAGATAGCTGATAATTTCACAACTTGATTGTTATGATGTACAAATAGTGGCTATCAATTTCTCATTATACTCATACCAAATATTGTTTAAATTAGCCTTGTCTTAATCCTTCTCATTTTATGAGTTCTTTCCATTTTTTTTACTTTTGGAAGCAATTCTCAAAAGGTTTGAAAAAAATTTAGGAGCAGAGCTTATGAAAAATCCATGTTTTCCAGGATCTGTCTCTAAGACAGATAATTTGGCATTGTCCTTGGTAATTAATTTGCCATTACCACATGCCATATTTCTAACACGGTCTTTTTTGCACAAATTCAAAATGCAGGAACAATGAACTGGCTATCTTTACCTGTAGCTGGATCAAAGCATTGAAAAACACACAAAATCAGAACAACAACATTAATCTTTTATGAAGGAAAAAATGTGATACGAGATTGTATCTTTTACCAGCAGTAGAAAAAAAAAAGAGACATTGCTTCAAGTTTTTGTGGAAGCCTAATTTGAAGTAACTATTTATAGATGATGCATATTATGTTAATTTGGCTTCTCCTGACACACAAAAGCTTCCTTTGAGAGCTTTTGTAGTAAAAGAAGGAAGAAAGCAAAGGGCCCTCACAAATAGAGATATGATAAAAGTTGCTGTCATTATAACAGATCATCAGAAAGAGAGAAGGAATTGCTGAGACACCATTCATCACTTTGAGAAATGCTCACATTTCAGCTCACATTTCACAAACAGCTCCTGGTTAAGTAGGACTAGCGGCAATTTTTATGAAGAGGGATATGTTATCAGAAAAGTGCAATTTTCTTTTTTTTACAGGTTGTTTACAAACTCATCCCAGTTTCTGCGAGTGTTATTCGAAAGAATTCATTCAAATACCTCCCTCAAAACAGTAAAAATTAATTTCTATTTGAAAATAAATTTTGTTTCTCTGAAATGTTGTTGGGTTGGGTTTTTTTCAGAAATGGGATGTGAAATTTTCAGCTTCTAGACTGTATGGAAACATATCTTTTTAAATGGGTTATTTTCATTGTATTGAGGTCATTGTTCATGCTATTTTTTTCTACTGCATGACTGTAGGCATGAAAAATAAGATTTTTGACATGGGAAAACAGACCAGAACTAATGAACTATTGACAATGCATATGAATAATAGATAACAACAAGAAATGAGTTGTCCTTTGTATTATTTAAGCTTATTTTTTATTTTTGATAATTTAAAGGGGATAGTGGCACTGTGGCCACCTTCACTGATTGTTTTACCCATAAAAATGCAATTTTTTCAGAAAGAGAAAAGGAAAATCTTTACAAATGAATGTCTGCAAACACAATATGGTTAGGATATAAATGTCATGTTGGAAACCCTTTGCACGGTGAGAAAGTCCATTTACAATGTAGGCATCTCCTAGAAATGTGGTGTTTGATTCATTTAAAGATATTAGCAAAACACAAGAAATCATTCACTTGGAGATTGTTGCAGCTCATTTGTATCAGGTTGGTTTTCCATTAGCCTGTGCTAGTGCAGACATTCTAAATCACAGCCACTTGGGCAGTGTTCGGAGAGAAGCCTCTGGCCGGTCGATGGCACAGCAGCACCAGCCCCATTCAGCTGCTCTGGGTGCTGCCCGTGGGGAAGGGACGAGGCAGGAGGTGGCAGGCCAGCTGCTTGCCCGTGCAAAAAGTCCATCCACCAGCTGCTGGGGGTGGCCTGGGAGCACCCTGGAGGATTTGTCTGGTGTGTTGAGCAGATATGCAGTAGTGTCCCAGAGAGGGTACAAACCACAGAGGGGCTGACAAGCTTTTAAAAATTAGTTGTCTGCCAGCTTGGACAGGGATTTTGCTGTGGTATGCACTACGTGGTGTTGACTTAACCTCACCCCAGTTATTACTTGAATGAACCCACACCATGAGATAACATCTTGGGCTAGATGTTATTGTTGAGCTAGAAATCTATGTCGTGACCAGATGTAAAGATGTATTTAAAACAGTCTTACCTTCTCTTGTAATTCTCTCTCCTAGCAGTAGTCTGTAGTGAGGCTGGAAATGTGAAATCAGGGATCTTGTCATTTTTCAGGTCAGGGATAGCAAGTAATCAGTAGCCTAGAAACATCACCAACACACTCATCTCCTTCGAGGTAGCAGCTGATACCAAGACTACAGAATCAAAATTAATCCTTCTGGTCATATGCTTAAGTCAACATAATTTCTCATCACCCCATTCCTCAGGGATAGAGTCAGAGAGCATCCAGACCTCCTGCATCCTCTTATTATGGATGTTGTTATCATTACTTGCTGAAAAACAGTGTAGACCAAAAAAGGAACACTTCCTGCTAAAGGACTTACCTTTTAATTTTTATTCTAGCATTGTTCAACGTAGGGGGCGGTGCTATTAAAATGAGCTTAATTCTGCCAGGATAATGAATTAATTTATATTCTTCTACGCAACTGTCTTTCCCACACTAAGTCACTGAGCCACTCTGAATTTTCAGTTGATGCAACCAGATAGAATTAATTTGGAAAAAGCTGACATTTCCAAACATGGCCAAGTAGAAAATGATTCAGTGGTTCCAAGGAGCAGAGGCAACTGTAAAAGATCATTGGTAATATGATACATCTAGAACCCTAAGCCACCCTTTTGTTTTATGAGCTTCTAATCCTGCTATTTTAATGTGTGGTCTTCCCTTTTCCATAGGAGGATTTTGGTCCCATGCTGGTTTCTTTTGCATCTGCTGTGAAGAATTTACAGTGTAGCTGTCTAGGGAACTCATCACAGGGACAACCAGTGGTCCCTGTCTTCTGCAAACCCCACTGTGTCCCAGTCAGCCCAGGGCGGGCTGTTTATGTAGGGTGAAGAGTACATCTAAAGAAATTAGTGACTGAGCCTTTGCCATTTTGATGATTAAGACTTTGACCTTGGATTCAAAGTATTCATTTGCATTTGTCACAAAAGTGGTCACTGAGGTATGCAAGTCATGCTGGCTCATTTTCTAAAAGCCTATTTTGCAGCATATTGAGGTATTGTATGCCCTGGGAGAACAATCAAAAGCTTGTTTTACCTAATAAGGAAACGGCTGAGGCATATGAATTACCATTCTGTTTTCCAATACATTTCACACCAATTAATTTTCCAGTTCTGTGAAACAAGCGGCAGTTATCTTTGAGTCAGGTTCAGCGAACCAGTGCTTGACTTTAAATAGAAAACTCTTGATGCTGCTGGACAGATGTGCACAGCTTTCAGAAGACCAAGGCTCCCATCAACACCGAATGATGCCATCCTCTTCAATCTCTCACTTACTTCTGGCTGTAGCAACAGTGACTTCCCTTGTAACTGAAGTATATTTTTATTTGATACTTGCAATATTATCTTGTAAGATCCTGCAGAAATTCAAATTTCATAGAAGAAAAAATGAGGTTCAAGTTTACTTTTCTATTTCCTTTTCTACAGTTTACAGGTTTCTCTGAATCAGGTACTTTGTGGTAGAGAAGCTGAAGATGTGTTTGGCCGGCTGGCTGAAGGAACAGCTGAGGTGTTTGCTCCTCAGATGCCTTTGTGTTGTGATTCTGTCCATGAAGAGCATTCCATAAAATATCAGTATTAAATACTTAGTCTTCTTTCTAACATTAGTGCTGCTAGACACCACATCCCGGAGAAATTAATTCATGCTTCTAAGGCAGACAGTCAAGTCTTGCTTGTGTTAAGCCATTAGGAACAGAATAAACATTAAAGCTCACATCACTTACCTTTTCATGCTCTACTGCCTGGATCTCTGCAGCACGCAGGAGACCACTGGTGTGCTAGAGGATCAAGCTGTTGGCACACTAGGAAGAATGAGAAGAGGTGCGTGTGACATGGCTGCAGGAACCTCACCAGTGGACTTGCACAGTGAACTTCCATTGCTGTTCCCTCAACATGGCCTAGGAGCACCATAACTCCCTGTGTAATATTTAAGCCTGCCAGCCATGTCAGAGCCTCACACACAGATCCTTTCCAAGGCAGTAACGAAGGGTGTTGAATCCTCACACTGAGACCTCCTGGTCTGTGCATGTAGAAAGGCTCTGGCATCGTATTGACAGCACAGCCAGCAGCCAGGGAAGGATTCCACACATAGGTTTAAACATTCCTAGCGTGAAAGGTGCCATTTAAGCATCAGTCATCATGTTCGCTGCTGGCAGAGGGCTAGGTGACTCATTTTATCAGCAAGGCTATTCCTAGAAAAAGAAAATGCGAGTGCCTTAGAAAGGCAGAAGGGCTCCAAGTATGAGAAATCTTATAGCCTTTATAGGAGTGCCCAAAGTATTGCCATTAAGTACCAATGAAATCCTGAGTGATTAATGATCAGAGGAAATAGAAACGGTTTTGTGTTACTGGCTATGCAGCATCACCCCAGGTCCCAGGGCGAGATCAGAGGTCTGTGGTGCCAGAGACAGAGATCCAGGCACAGGTGATCAGTGTTTGCTGGAGTTGTGGGTCTGTGGCATTTTACAAACTGTTAACAGCTGCGTGATAAATACTTCAACATCCTAAACAGAGAACTCTGGAACAAGCACTGCTTTGTTTCCCATGAGTATTAGTTCACCTCTTAACCAACCTTTTTCCTGCCCATGGGAATGATTTCCATTCAGGTTGTTGTTATATACTGTTAGAGAAATGGAGATGGTATTACACTCAGGGCATGTTTTTAAAGTCAGTCACCCTATCAGTCCTCTTTTTGTTTGCTTTGTGGAGTTGTCTCAGGGTACACAAGATGGCTTGCTTTCAGATTAGATTAAACCAGAAGACATGCTTCTGGGTTGGGTGGTATCTAGTGTGTTCCAAAACTAATGGCATTAACAGCCTCCTCCATCCCCCTCCACATCCCCACCCTGGACAGTGTATCCCTAGTGGCAACTGTTTCACCCCACAAACACACTCCTATCGCAAGTCACTACTCAGCAGTATGAGCATCCATTCAGATGCTCCAGTTAGGTTCCTGCTGATTTATGTCTTTGCTGATCTGGACATGGGTCTCTGATACTTCCAGTTCAATTGGAGCATGTCAACTGCCACATCTTCAGCCTTGCAGGTTGTAAATTTCAGAATCTGTAGACTAAATTCACTGATTGTATGTCAGGGTGTCCATGCCCTGTCTATTTCCATGTCCTCCTCATGGAACTCCCTAGCCTCCAGCTCCTTACTACTTCATGATTCCTCATAACCTTTCCTTATCACTTCTTTACACAGGTGGATGCACCAGCTGTGTTCCTTCCCTGAAATATAATTTGTAGTCATGCAATGTAGCACAGCAGACAAGTTAAAATCCATTGAGTTATCAGGCTTGAGAGAACGTATTATGGAAGAATGCATTCTGGATATTGCCTAACAACTATTTTGCCTATCTCAGTGTCCTGGTTTCAATTAGAATAGAGTTAATTTCTTCTCAGTAGTTGTTACAGTGCTGTGTTTTGGATTTATAATGAGACAGGTGTTGATAACACACTGACTGATGCATTTTTTTGCAAAGTCATTTAATTCTAAGTGAAGGACTTTCATTTTTCCTTGTCTCAGTGAAAAGATTCACTAAAAAAAAAAACAAAAACGGGGTGTGAGCATAGAAGGGAGGGGTGACCCAAACTGGGCATAAAGATATCCCACACCACAGAACATCACTCCCAGTATATAAACTGGGAAGAGATACCTGGAAGCATGGCCAATCTGGGTTTGAGAAGGGAGCTCTGGCATCGGTCAGCAGGTGATGAGCAATTGTACTGTGCATCAATGGTTTGTTCCATTTTTAACACCATTATTCACCGTCATTATTGTATTTTACTCTATTCTCAATTATTAAACAGTTCTTGTGTCAACATGCAAGTTTACTTCAATTCTCCTCCCAATTCCATCAGGCAGAGGGAGATTAAGTGAGCAGCTGGGATGGTATTTTGTCTCCAGCTGGGTTTAAAACCATGACAGTCCTTTTTTGGCACCCGAACAGAGGAACCAAGGGTTGAGATAAGGATCAGAGTGTGTTAAAAGAAAATTGCTATAAACATTCATTGTATTGGTTTAACAATAGTTGCTAGTTAAAATGTGGACTTATTTGCCGTCATATTTGTGTTTTTTTGTCTGAGTTATATCTGTAATACCTCACTTGCAGTACGTGCTCTCTGTGGTGTATTTCATAGGGTGTATTTCTGATATGACAGTGCTGCTTATCGGGACACAAACATAGTGGATGCATTCAGTATTGCAGGCACCTCTGTGCTTTGGGAGTCATCTACTAGAAAATCACACCTTTGGCTTTTTTTCCATTTTCTCAGAGGAACAACATATGGGGGAAACACTTTCCTATTTTTTTCACCCCTTCTTTATTCCTTCCTTGTCCTCCAGACTGATTAGACTAGTCAAGAATTTTAAAGATTTTGAATATCCTGTGACTACCCTTGAAACCAAACTGGTCTTTTTGCTAGGAGCCAGCATGTTCTTGCATAGGTTCAGACCTTCTTTAAGGCCAGACAAATAAATAAGAATATTACTCAGAGATCTACCCAAAAACTGGATAGTTCAGAGTGATGGGGTGGATGGGATTGTATGAGTAAGTCCCTAGGGCAGTGGGCACCTCCAGTGTGTTTGCACCTTACCCCTCAATATGTGCAGAATCCAGGAATGAAGCAAAATATTCTTAAAAAGTGTCTTATCATCCTGGCACCCCACAGAAGAACCAAATCTCTACAATGTGCTGGGGCCTGGCCCAGGCCTATCAAGACATGTTCAACAGTGCTCAGTGTCCTTAGGAGGAAAAGGTCTTTAAATCTGACAATGTGACAACAGCCCCTGCAACCGCTCCAACCCCAGCAACAGGCACCGCCACTACTCCACCCATGAAAATTACTCTGCATACTGCAGATTTTGTTTCTATCTTCTCTGCATTTTTGTTTTCCCCAGCATGAATCAGTTCAGGAGTAGATTGCTTCCTGAAATCTGAGGACTGGTCAAAAATCCATACTCAAAATTACTCTATTTCAAAAAGAAAAAAAACCCATCAAGTGTTGATCATATGGACTTGACAACTCAGCTATAAGCACCTGTTCATCTCTTCATAGATGAAGTTCAGTTGAGTGTATCTTGCTTCTAAAATTGTCCTGACACTACTGGGAATCTTGGCCCAGAGTAAAGGAAATGAGCAAACCCAGCAGCTCTGCCAAACTCAGTGCTATGAACACTGAGTGTACTGGGGAGCAGAGAGAAGACTTATCATTCACTTCACAGTCACTGGCAAGTTCTACTGTCACATTTAATTTTCCATGAAATTGCATTCAGACATAGAAGGGAACTATCAGAAAGAATATTCATGTCTTGGCCAGGGTCTGCAGAGAGGAGGGATATCAGTGATAGCAGGTCGTAGTTAAAGGGTTTATTTTTTTCATGAATGATGACAAAGTTTTCAGATGTGTGCAAGCTGTGGTCACTGCAATGAGAAGGGAGTTTTGCTGTCAGGTGAGATGTCATGCTACTGCCAGTTTCTTTGCAGCTGCTGCCCTTCAAAATAGTCTTCTGTTAAGGAGGTGCTAAAACAGCATAATGATATGAAAACAAAAGTAATTCACTAAACAGGGAACATTGTAAAACTATGTACATTGAGTCATAACAAAATTCCCTGACATCCAGTACTTTGACCCAAGCTTCTTCTGAGACTCCCAGTGGCAGAAAAAAGGTCAAGAATCCATCTTTGGCTAAGAAAGTTGTTTGTAGGTACTTCACAAGGCACCTAGCATATTGTTTGCCTTGACAAAACCCAGTTTTAAAAATGAAGCGACTAAACAAGCAGGACAATACATATGTGAAGCTGTTTATCCAAGGGGAGAAAGCTTATGACTAAAATCCAGGTCTTTTTGCAAAGTCTGTCTATTCAGACACCACCAAAAGTTGTTGCCAAGTTCACAGAATGGTGGCACCTGCTTTTGACTGAACTCTTGGGTTGCTGGAAAAAATATTTATTCCTCATACTCAAAAACTAAACATTGTTTCCATTACAAAGAGACTCTCCAATGGAAGTTGGTGCTGCTTTGTCAATGTCAAGGGAAGCCCTAACCTGCTTCGGTAGGCTGGAGAATGGTACATGAGAAGAGTCCTGATTGAAAAATGTGGCTTCACTAGAAGGCTGGTAAACAAAACCTGTTTGTTCAGGTTTTATTATAGAACAGCACAGCCACATGAAAGATTCAGCACATCTTTGCTTCTGCATTGATCTATAAGTTGAGAAAGGGTTCAGATGCGGCCAGGAGGAAGAGCACATTCGTGTTTTCTTTCGAAGTGCACTCTTGCTTTTGTTGTCCCAATTCACTATTCTTAGGGCCACTAGGGGCCCAGAGCCTTTTCAAGTCACTTTTCTTATTTACTGTCATTTGCCACTCATCCTGGGTCCTTCACTGTCATTCTCTCTCGAGTACTTCCAGCTGCTGTTGCTATTGTTGTCAGCTATTGGAAAAAAGAAATTTTTTTTTAAAAAGTGAAGCATCCCTTCTCCCAGACCTGTTATCCTCCATATTTCACCTATAGAAGCTGCCTTTCACATCATTAAATTGCTCACCTCCTGCTGTTAGTTATGCCTGCAGAGCTAAAGCCTTGCCTCTTGCTAAGTCCTTGTCTCTGTTGCTGAATGAGGTGCACCTTTCAAAACAGCATAAACCTTTGTCTCTTTCATCTCTTTTGTCTCAAGGCTTTCAATAACAACCAAGAGATATTTATTACTACTAACAACACACTAGTCACTAGAATGGTTCATCCTGCAAATGCAAAACAGCACATTTTGGGATCAGCTTTTAGGGTAGCAGTGCAATTTTTCTTCAATTAATGTGATTAGTGGGTTTAACTGTGTTTTTCAGACACATATTAACCCTCCATAATTTAAGAAACATCAGTCTCCAGAAGCACAGATCCTCTTCACAGTCACAGCTCAATGTTATCCTTTTATCTTTTTTTGCATCCAACTATTGTTTTTACAAGCAGCTGAGAAAGGTTTCATAGGGAAGGTTTCATATTTTAAAGCTATCTGTAACTCTGTCAATAACTGAAATAATTACCTGCACCATCTCTTGGTGCAGAGAACATAGCTCTTCTTCAGTGTCCAGAATATTTCTTTAACATGTTTCTGACTTTCTAACCAAGTGAGTATTTTTTTCTCAATGGGCAAGTGATTATAGACTGCATGTGAGGACAAGAGGTCATGACAGAGATTGAAATGTGCTGCTTTGGAGCAATTCTATCAGAGCTAGCTGTCTTCAGGCAGGCTCAGAGTGGGCTACATAGGTTCTCTCCCTCCCTAATATACTATTTCTTCACATTGTCTTTCTTTTTACCTTTTGTCGTAGTAATGAGTCACTGTGCTTAAAAGCTGCAATTCTGAATTCTGAAAAAGCTCCCAAGCCAAAGAATACTCCTTGCTGCAAGGAGCAGAGAAAAAGAAAAAGAAGATTCAAAAACAGAGAGAAGGTTTTAGAAGTAGAAAGAAATAGTGGATGCAGTGCTTCATGGAGAGGCATGAAATACGACATTTTCCAGAAATGTATCAGGCAAGGGGAAAAAGTTCAAGTGACCATTATGTTTTCTGGGAAGAGGGTATGAAAGAAAGATGAAAGTGAGTATTTTTTAAAATATTGCTAGGAGACTGGCTTTAGATTTTCATGTAATGAGGTTTGCAGAGGGAAGTTGAAGTGTTGAAGTTTGAGCCAGTGATCAGGCAGCACAAAAGGTACTGAAGGGGTGTATCACTTCTAGGCGGAAAAAAGTACTCTTGAGAGGTATCAGCTTTGCAAGAGAAACTGATCAGAGGGGGAGAAATTCTGAGCCATGTGTAGCACATCTATAACTTGTCTTAACTCAAAATACACCATACACTGGTATTATAATCACTGTGTCAGAACAAATTGTAGTGGGGATCAGGTGCCAAAAATCAAGGGGAAAAATCCAGTCAACAGGGTGGATTTAAACCTGTGAAAAGGCAGAGATTATTAGTACTAGCAAAAGAGAAACAGATCTGATTGCAAGAGTTAAAAGGAAGAGAAAACAGTTTTACAGACTAGAGAGTAACTAAACCCTTAGCCAATGAAGGGCAGAGAAAAATTATAGAATTCCTGGATTTCTACAGGCCAAAGAGTGAAAATCATAGTTGGAATCAGTGTACACCTGCAGCCCACTGAAACACCATGCAAGACGTGTGTATTTTCAGCAATCAGACTTTGGCCACAACTGTTATATTCCTAGGGGAAAACATTTTGTAAGAACTTGCAGAGTGGGATTTAATGAACCTATTAAAAAACAAGGACTCGTTCACAGTCTACACAGGGAAAAAGAATTTCTTAAAAGGGAATGATGTGAGCAGAGCATCACTGTTAAAGTTTGTGTCAGCTCCATACTGCCTTTGGAACTAATTTGAGATCTCAAAAACAAAACCTATTCCTGCTGAGCGCAGACACAGAATGGCTGCCATGATGAGTCTTCTAGAGCTCCACACAAAAGGGCAATAACATCTTGAACATTCACTTCTAGGGAATAGACTACTGCAGCTGTTCTAAGGTGGAAAACAGGTCAAATATCCAGGCTCATTAAAAAGTAAAGGAGTCCATAAAGAGAGAAAGCAAATGCACAGATAAAAAGAATGATGGACACAATTAAGGTCTAGAAAGGGCAGGCAAAAGGTTTAGTTCCGAGGAAGCAAACAAAGGACAAAAACAAAATAACAAAACATACCATTACCATTAAAAGCCTAAAAAAAAGGGCATGTGTTTTATGCACAGTGTTCAGTACAGCATGAAATTACCTTATTTATGCTAACTCCTGGATCATGGAGTCTCAAGCTGAAGGGCCAAGAAGTTGGTCAATAGGACAGGCCAGAGAATGAGGACTGAGCAGAGCAGCGCTGGGGACACTGGCAGAACATCACAAGGCCCACGAGATGCTCTGAATAGCTAAAAAAAAAAAATCAAAGGCTGAGGAGGTCTAAGTCAGAAGACACAACAGAGACAGGCACATGCTGATTTTAAGCAGTTGTTTGAGTTGGATATAACCAGCCTGACAAGTGAGGGGACACAGTTTTTCTTCCTTTCTTATTGGGTGTTTCAGCCTTGATTCACTTCCCACTGAATTTGTGTTTTGTGCCTTGCAGACTTTCCACTGTTGAATTTTCCTTTATTCTGTGATAAATTGCTCAAAGGAACTGCCTTTCTATACCTTTTTTCCCTCATTAAGATGTTTAGGTAGACAAATTAAGTATAACATTTGGACAATACCCAGGCAGCAGAGATTGCCTCTTTTGTTTTAGCTAAATAGAAGCCCAGACAGAGTGCAATTTTCTTTACACCTGTGTTTCAGAGGGATGCTAAGAGGATTTCTTAGCAGGGAATGGAGGATTACAGGAAGTGATGCTGCAGGTGAAGCAAGCCAGATGTTTGCTCCAGTTTCTGAACAGTATGTACATTTTATTCCCTCAAATTCTCCTGATCCTTCTGCGACCTCTAGAAGTGAACAGTATTTACAAAGTTACAAGTGATTGGAAATTACATGTGCAGAACAATCAGTTTAAGCCTGAATTCCTATAGATTTTTATCTACTCAGCATTTCATCACACACCCAGCAGCTTCCTAATGCCTTTCTCTCTCAGCAACCCGAGATTCTGCTCTTAAGTTTCTGAAGTCCTTGTTTTCCTATTGCATCCCCAGCTACCAGCTAGAGAAAGAGCAGGGTGCAGTGGCTTGTCCAGAGCCTGCTGGTGCTGGCATGGCAGCCAGTGTGTGTTCCCCAGTTTAGCCAGGTGCAAGTCCGTGAGCAGCTGATGGTGCTGCCTTTCTTTTATGGTAACATTAACTAGGCTTTTTCTTCTGTATTCAAGCACAGATTTTCTAAAAAAAAAAAATTAAGAATACAGAGTCTTTGAAACATTATTTTCTCTTTTTCATATGTCTGAAATTCACAACTGGATTTAAAAGCCATTGGAGAGAGGACATGAGCAAGCATGAACTGAAAGTACATGTCACTCACTAGGAAGCCTATAAGTGGTGCATAATTTTCTCATAGATAAGATCCTGAAAAATATAAGATGACTATTTTTCCTTTAGAGATGGTCTGCAATGTTTTCCTTAATTTGCTCCAAGTGGGATTTACAAGCCCTGGAAAGTGATCAGTTTTGGAGAGCGATCTGGTTTGGAGAGTTTCTCAAATGAAAGCTGATATGCAGCAGGGGTGCAATCAGTCTCCTCCTGATGGGGCAGCCTATGAGCAATGTGGAGTCCTCTATCAGTGTGCCTCTAGGAATGCTGTTTGCAGAGCCAGGTACAGGATGGTATTTATAGGCAAAGAGGCTGAAATGGGGTTCATCTCAGTTAAAATTTGATTTCTACAAAAGGTTAAACCACCCATTTCTCTCCCTGATTCTAAAGGGAAGGTTGTGTACCTGCCCTGGCTACAAACATCTGCAGCATAGAAAGTTACTTGAGAGGAGTCTCACCTTAATGTCCAGCCAGTAGCTTCCCCTTTGTTATACTTCCAAGCAGCAATATTCTCAAACAGAAAAATACAGGTAGTCATAAAGCAACATGACAAAACGTTTTTAAAGTCCAATTTTGCTATAAAATGCATGGGTGGAAATAAATCTGTCCCCTTGGTGACAAAGTCATCAACATCAACTTGACAGGATGCTATCATTCAGCTTGCAGGTGCTAAAGTTCCAGTGCAGTAAGTGGACTGCACTTCATTAAAACCCATTTCTCAGTACAACCACTGCCAACACAACAATCTCTCTCTGCAATTAAGAAAATGTAAAACGATCCCCTGCAGAGAAGAGTACAGTAGAAATGAAGGGAACAGAGTTAAGTCTAAACCTAAGCCAGGAAATAATTTTCTTTTTACAGCTTTTCAGAAAGGACTTGGCAAGTGACATGAATAGACAACGGAGCACAGTAAATTTAAGTCTTTATTATGATCCCACTTCTCTGTCATGCTAAAATGCATTTCACCAAACTGCATTATAAAAAATAAAAAGTATGTACATTTATATATTAATACGACTATGAATTAATACATGTATTTACTTCAAAAATAAGTATTTGTAACTAACTCCAAGGTTGAATACATGTATTTACTTCAAAAATAAGTAACTAACTCCAAGGTTGCAGAGTCACTGACTGCTTCTGCCTTTTTGCCTTGTAGAAGCATGACCAGCTCTGACACCATTTACCCAGGGAAACTCTGCAGTTCAGTTCCATGATGTGTTTTTCTGCTAGATTCTCATTATCACACATTCTGATCTGCCTCAGGCAGCTATTAAGCCCCTTGTCAAGTCACAGTTACATATTGACTGTGAATCATATCTTCTTTTAGCCCAAATTACTTCTACATTTCATGAGTCTGAAATAGATACTGTACAATTAAAGCATCTTAAAAGCATTAATTGACACTTAGATTAATAACTCATTTTGTTGTTTTGTGTCAGAAAAGCCATTTGTCTGCAGATACTGTATTATTATAATTGTTTTTAGCGTCCTCTTTAGTTTTATGTCCAATAAACAGCATCAATCCTTTGTGAAGACAATATAATGTTCTCAGTATCAGAAAGGACTCACATATAACAGAGAGGAAAAATTGTATTTGCTATAGCCTTAAACCATGTAAGGCCAAGTACAATGAAATGAGGGAGTCACTGATTTCTTTCAGCTTTCCAAAGAATGATCTAGAGACATACACTTTAGAAAACTTAAACCGATAAATACCCATGATGTGGGTTATAGACACAAAGGGCCACATATCATTTGCTGTAAACCAGCAACTGCACTTTCTTGGAACTACATGAATTCCCACCAAATGATCATCTTGCCCACATTAGGTGTCAGAAAAAAATCTGGGAAACATGGAAACCTTCTCTGTTTACCTCAGACATCCAAGATCAGCATTTATAATTTGGAACTAGCTTGTTTTTTCTGTACACTGTTGTTAAATCCCATGTTCCTTCTTTGTAAACTTTCTTGTTGTCATTTTGTCCTTCGTTTTCTTAGGAAGTTTCTTGTCTGTCACAGCGTTAAGCCTCTTTCTAAGCTTCTGAGAACAAAATTTGGTTCTTACAGTCAATCATCCTTACCAGAGGGCACAGTGGTAAAAATGAGATGGGTGAACTGTTAGAACAGGGATTATTTTAACTCTATCTACACTCCAGACTGCAAGCACGAACTACTGCAAGAGCCCAGATTCATGGCAGTGGCTGGTTCCTTTCGAAGGCCTGCCCCTACATCAGAAGGTGTTGGAAGCTACCAGAGTCTGAAGCCAAATCCTTGGCAGAGGTGAAACTCAAATAGCTGGATTCTAATGAAACTCTACTTCAGGGATACCGAAAGGCTTCAGGGGAGTGGCTGTGTGGGTCTTTCAGATGGACCCTAGAGAATTTTCTCAGTACAGAGCTAAGGGGAATCAGGGTTAATTTCTCGATGCACAGAACAAGCCAACCACTCCTTTTGGGATTTCCAGTAAAAACACAGGAAGAAGGAGTTACATGACTCTCTGTTCAAGTTCCTGCCACTGTTCTCCAAATATCAAGTCAAAAGCACTAGGAAAGAGAACAGATGTATGAAAAGATAAAAGAAGTTTCCATCACATTGCTTTTTATAGGAAGGAAACATTAATTCAGAACAAAAGATTAGTCAGTCAGTAACAGAATGAGGTAAAATTAGGACAATGAAATCTCATTGAATGAGACTGTATTCTTCTCAAATTTGGGATTAATTAATCCTTTATCCCCTTGTCCTCCAGCAGCATTACCTTATTTTTTTTTATGGGCAGAAGACTCATTAAGTCTTTTGTCTAGATTTTATGATCACTGTTACAGGTGTCTCTTGCCCCCTGTGGCCACTTTGCTTCCCCAGCTGTCTTGGTGTGGGAGCCTCCATTGGCTGCTCAGAGCTGGGGAGGCAATGTGGCTTTTCATTCACCTCCTTTCACCCTCCTCCCTGTACCCCCATCCACAGTCTCAGGACTTGGAGGTCACACTAGCCAAGAATTTCCTAGGAAAATAATGCCATTTTCTGCCAAAAATGCATTTTCACATTATTACTCAAAGAAATGTTTATTCAAAAGCTGGTTCAGAAGAAAATCCCTCGTTGTTTCCAGCTTTATTTAAAAAAAATTGTAAAATAAATTAAAATTCTTCTAAATTAAAAAAAGAAAAACATCCCCATTTGACATGTACTACTTATTCAAATTTTGAACTATTCTTAGGAAAGCTCTTTTGAAAATCAAGTCTTGAAAATTGTCTAAGTCAGCACGATTCTACTGAGGCACAGCAGCAAAGGATCTGGCCTCAGGATCTGTATCTCCAAACCTACTGTGAACTGCAAACGTACCCAGCTGTGACATTTATATTGCAATCTCTTAAGGCCTTTTGTAAATTATCACATCCTGCCTGCGTACTTTCTCAAGAGGTATTATTTGCAGATGAAACCTCTTGGTAGGTAGTGTACCTAAAGAATAACAGCTATTTAGAGCTCAGGGTAGTTCCACAGTAATTATTTCTCAGTTTCTCCTAGAAGAGGAGCTGTACAGGAGGATACTGGTTAGTGCTCGGGGCAGCGGCCATCATCATGAGACGATGAGACAATCTACCCATGGTTTCTCAGAGACACAGTGAAATAACAGCTTGTCTGCAGCTGGCTTTAAACATCTCTCCTTATCTTTTCCAATATGCACCTGTTAGTCTCAGGGGTTCAAGTAAATAATGAAGTAATTTAACCCCTTCCTCCAATTTAAGATTTGTTCTATATATCACACAGCTTTGAAACTAAGCATACCTTGATCAAAAAACCTCCATGCTTACAATCACCAAATACAGGGTAAAAACCTTCTTAACCAGAGGAAATACTAGGTAATTCTACTTGGGCTGTGAATATTTTTAGATACATCAGTCTCAAGAAAATAAGAAATACACAATGAAGAAAGATCATCACTGGGGGGACACTATGAGCCTGTAATGGGAGTATAAGTGAATCACAGAAAGGTTAAAGCCTTTGAAAGGTAGAAAGTTTAGCACTAGCACTAGATACTTTGAAGGTTTAAGCATCACCTCTGAAGTGGAGTACACACAATCATCTTAAAGCAAAAAGATTGCCTTGGGAAAAAGGGCTTGTGACTGAAATTCTCAGCAAGCACTTACACGAAACATATCCCTGAGCAGACTCCTCTCAAAAAGTTTCAGTCAGGAAACTTTTAGATTATTGTTGGTGACCAACAGTTTTGTTGTTGCTCAAAATTGTTGGTCTGATATTCCTTCCGCAACTGTCACAAAAGACTGCAGTAAGGAAGGAGAGTTCCCAGATTTTCAATATGCTGCCTCACCTCCTATTTCTCTTTCATACATATTTTATTTTGTATAATGAGATTTCATAGCGCAGGAAGAATTAGAAAATACAGAATTAGAAGATACAGACTATGCTGGAGAAGATGACATCAGAAAGATGGGAGACTGGACTGAATGAGCTGCCAGTGTCGGAATCTGTGGGTATTGATGATTCCGAGATTGTAGAAAGTCTCTGTCTTTCAGCCCTGTTGCCAAAGAAGAAGCCATAATTCATCTGTGCTGGTTTCAAGGTTGTTTATTCTTGCTTATCTCTAACATGTTCTGCTGCCCTGCCGCAGGTCTGTCCTGCAGGGCAGCGTGTGGGGCTCTGCCCCCAGTGGGATGTTACAAACATTATATACCAGAAACTATCTGTGCTATATTTACAATAACGTGCCAATATCTGTCACCTACGTTAAACAGTGTGTCCCCAGCCTAAACCAATAGAAAAATGCCAACACTACAGTGAAACATGGAGGGCATGAAGAAGGAGAAAAAGGACAAGACACACCCAATTCTTCCATCTTGTCCCCTTTGAACCCCTAATCTAGAAACCTAAAATTTTACTTTTGCACCCGTGCCACACTTAATTATTACTCATATCAAACACTTAGAGCTTGTAATTCATCCTGTAAGACTGAAAACTCTTTTCCATGGACAGAGATCACAGACAGTGCCTCTCGGGGCTCTGTACAGGGGGATTCCCGACCCCCTGCCAGGGTCCCAGACCTGCCAGGGCAGACAGAGGGAAGCCCTGGATTCCCACATGCCAGAACTATTTATGGAGGGTACCCAAAACCCTAAATAGATTTACTTCTACTCCTTGAAACATTTGTGCTCTCAAGATGGAATCAGATCAGACCAAGGTGTTATTTCTTCCAAGAAGGTCTTGACATCTCAGAATTAAACTACATTAAAACACTGGCAGGAGGTGTTAATTCTTTTAACATGTAGAACCATGCAAATTTCAGGCACACAGTGTGCCCAGAACTGAAAACCAAGAGCAGATATATAAATCATGCCTCTCATCAGTGAAGCATGTCTCATGTGTCTTCTCAATAGCAAAGGCAAAACAGCAAGTTTGTTCCAGTCACAAGCACAGCAGCCTTCCAGGAGTCAGTGACTCAGGAACACAGTCTCCTTTTCAGTTCCCTAAACATACATCCTCCATACTACACATGGCACATGGCTAAAGCCACTCAGTCTTCACCCAGTACACAGTGTTAGTCCCACTGTTCTCTGCTGGCTTTTTGCCCTCTGCGTAGTCTAACCCTGAATGCTTTATAGACCAGAGGGAGGTGATTGAGTTACCTCCAATTTAGTGCAGCCTAACAGCTCAAGGATTGCAGCAAGCATTCAAATGAGTCAGGGAGTGAAAAGAGAACAACAACCTGACATTATTTATAGGAGACATCATGATTGGTCCCTCTCTGTCAGCATCCTGAACAGATTAGAAGGAAGCATAACAAACGAGAACCATGTTTAAACATTGAATGCCTTCAGAAAGATATTCTGAAGTGTAATGCTCACTTCAGACAGAAGCTGAAGTCATGGTATCTCTCCCACAATCATTTGCAGCTAAGAGTTGGAGCTAATGATCAAGGAAGTTTACTACAGACTTGTCATACGTTCAAGGAACTCTCCTATCTGAAACCAACACAGTCCACTGACTTCATATTCAGTAGGCAAGGGTGTAATTAGTTTTTAAGTAACTATACAGGTGGAAACAAAAAAACAAGTAAACAAATGACACAGACCCATTCACACATAATAGACATTTTTTGGAGGCAAGAACATACATAAAAGATACTAGTATAGAATATTTTGTCTTCATCCTGCAATTTTTGGGAAGATAAAGTTATTCCTAAAGTCTGAAGCCATTGCACCAATTTAGGAATATCACAATGAAGTGTTCTTCCAGTTGCAGACTACTGCTGACCTGTAAAATAGCAGGACCCTGAGACAACTGCGAAAATCATCAAGACCATAGACTTATTTTTACACAGCAAAGAAATTGTGGGAAAATAATAATCTAAAAAGTAGCTTATATTTGGTTTTACGGCAAAATAAAAATATTGTGGCAATACTGCCTAATATGGTTATTAAGACAATCTTTCCATTAAAAGGGTTGCAAAATGGAAATACTATGCCCTCTTAGTTCTTTTTTCCAACTCAAGTTGCACATAACAATGACACATTTCTACCACCAATAACTACTTATGTCAATTGATTTTAAAAAATCCAAAAACTTCTGTAGCAAGTATGAACACAGTGATGTTTATAATAGACAGCAGTGAACACTGCCTATGGATCAAACAGAGCTGAACATGCAGGTGTGGTTTTTCAGCTACTCTTTCCATTTAAGCTACTCTTTCCATTTCCATTTAGTTTGTGCCTCTGCTTTCTTTCTGGCAACCCTGAGCTATGATCATCTTTTTAAAGATCCAATACCAGCATATTTAGTATATGGGCATTGTTCTCTACATTTCTAACACCTTTTCAAGCATTCTATTATTGTAGTAAGAACAGAGAACAAAATAAATAAATACTAAATCTTCAAATTATTTAAAGAAACATTTCTCAAGCACATGAAAATGTTCAATGTTAAATGAGTAATGTTATACCTCATGAAATCTAAAGACATTTTCTATTTAAGAACCTTTAGAGGAATTGTTTTCAGGTTTGTTTTTTTCTAGAGACAAAACTCTCTCATTAAAAGTTGGCTGGATATAATATAGAGATTGGAAAGTTAAATTAATTGAGCCCTGGTCAGAGATGATCACTGTAAAAAGACTCCTGGCAAGAATTCAATTTTTTTTTTTTATTCTCAGTAATATCACCTCACTTTGAATGAAAACAGAAGTAATGTTAAATACTTGCTTTCTGTTGGCGGGAAGCATTGGCTGCAAGATCCCCAATATTGTCTCTGTTTTGTCATTGAATGAATCTTAACCTTAATGGTCTCCCCAGACTTAATTTAGAGAATAAAATGTAACTCACTTTTAATGTAATGTCTTTGGTAACAAAATTTGTTTCCTCTCTTCATGAGTTGAAGGTCTGTATTATACTATTCAGCTTCATACATGATAAATTAAAAGGCATGCAAATGTTACTACACATCCAGGATTTGGGATTCTCTTCTGAGCACAGGAGGGTGCTTGGTGTGTGGGGCAGTACACCCATTTGAGTCTTTTCTTGCTTGTCATTTGCAATTTGTTCTATCAAATCTGGAACAGCCACTTAAGGGCAGGCAAAATGCCATCTTATAAATGTGGTATGAGCACAAACCACCAAGAGATTATATATGAAATTCAAAGTTGTTCAGTGACGGCAGCATTTCAAGCTAGGAATGTCCAAGCAGCTGTGAGGGATGATCTATCCTGACTATTTTTAATAGGATGTCTCATTGGGCCTACATTAATTTCAGAAATTAAAGACATTTAAGTAGATATGTGAGGGAGTTTCTACAACTCTGCCGAATTCAAATCAGTATAATGCAATAGCGGTGTACTACTGGAGATTTCCAGGTGTTCTGGAGCATTCTGCAGGGAGCAGTGCTGGGCACCCTGCAAAGCTGGGAGGAAGTGTGCCACCATGCAACAGCTAATGCACCACATCCAAGACAGTACTAACAGGAAGGCTACAGCTCACTCTTTCCCTGGTAAATCCAGAACTACACAGAACAGAATACACGAATGTCTCCATCCCATCACACTCCTGTTGAGATCAGTGGATATTCTTCACCAGCTTCCACAGAAATCTGAATTGGCTTAACCTTGTTAGAGGGCCAGGACACGTAAATCCTGTCCTGCAAATTTAGATCAGAAGACCATTTCTGTGACTTCCAGATTAGGAGATCTACATCTCCATCATAATACATCTGACTAACAGGATTTAAGCTTTATATGCAGTTAAGCTTCTTGGGGTTACAACCACTTGATTCCTAATTCAAAAGAAGTAGGTGTGAATGCTCACAAACTGCTTTCTCATACTGTCATAGCAATGAAATCCTCATAGCTGCAATGTCATTGTTAGTCACATAGCAAATGACAGACAGAGGATGTTCTCTGTCTCCACCCCTCTCAAAGGTTAATACCACAAAAAAGTCCTGTTCCAAAACACTGAAACATCTACTACTGGAACATCTATTTCAGGATCACTGTAGTGCATTTTTTTCATACATACTGACATTCTCTTGAATGCCCTGTGTTTTCTGCTCTTCTTTGATTAACCAATATTATTACTACTCAAACCTAGCTGGTTTTTATGGAATATATTTTAAGAAACATGAAAAGGCTGTCTGGATAAGAATAAATAGGGGTCCTCAAGATAAATTTGTTACAGGGGACCTCAAGATTAAGTTGTGAAATAATTCTAAATAAAAAAGTATATTATTTGTAAACATACTAGTCTGGTGAATATGCTGAATGTTTATATGAACTGACTTCTACACACTAAAAAAAGTTTAAAAAATCAACTAGAACAAAGTTTAAAATACGTCTTTTAATTGATGATTAATTTCTACAGTGCTACAGTATTAACAGTCACTAAAACAAATATCTGAATCTATAGATCAAAAAATATTATAATTTTTGCAAATAAATAAGTTATTAGAAGTATCATATTGTGTTGCTTTCCTGTCCGTGTAAACTTCTAATGATAATCCATATTAGAAGAAATAACAATATTAAGCAGTTGCAGTGCATTTACATTATTAAGAAACTTCAAGTACAATTCTATACATACACATCCCATACACTTAGATAAATTTTTCTGCACTTACACTTTTACAAATCCATAAACTGAAAGGACATTCAAATACATTCAAGACCGAACAGAGAGGCAGGAGAGTATGAATAAAAGGACAACATGTTTCAGGTGGTACAACATGACACAGAAAGTACTGTACATCACCAGCCACTACCAGCTGCAGGCGTGAATTTGACAGCATCTTCCTAGAGAGGGCTGGAGTCACCCAACATTCAGTTCTCCACAGTTCTCTCGGGACAGCTCTCAGTTCACTTGTCAGATTTGCTTTTCTGACCTGAGTTCTCTCCATCTGGGAAGTCACAGGGACGAATCAGCTGGGGACACCTGCAGAGCCAGCAGTCCTGAAGGCGCTGAGACCCCAGAACGGCAGCGGTGGCACAGCGGTGACACCGACCCGAGAGTGCCACCCACTGTGGAGCTGTGCCCTTCTGGCAGCAAGCTCATGGAGCTGCCCTTGGCAAACTGAAACCTGCCACTTTAGCCTGGCAAA